GGGAGGACGGAACCGAACTCAATGGACAGTCTCTCGGGCGAGACGCCATCAATGGCGATGAAAACTTTCTCGGAAAAGGGTAATGGCAACCCCGGAAGAACATGGCTTACCGTCACAAGATGGTAGGTTAGTGGAAGTCGGTGGGAATCTGCCGACAGTAAATAAAGGTAGGGCTGAAGCCGAACATTCCACCCCATAAGAAATCGAAGAGATGTTGGTGAAGAAGACTGAGGAGCCACATCGGCAAGTACTGATACTCCTAAACAAGGAGTCTCTCAGTCCTTGCACTGTCCTAAAAGTGGCCGTTAGTTATGGCTTCGAGCGGGTGGTCCTCATAATACTTCAGACGGAAGCCAGGGCGGCTCACCCGCTACCTACAATGGGGTCGGAGAAGAAGGGAGAGGAAACTAAACTGGAGATAGACTCCAGCCTCTCGGACGCGGTGAGCACAGGGGGCGGATCGTCAGTTGATGGATCCATCTTCAGTCTCGAGCACTTATTTGAAAAGGATCGGTTCGGTAATGACTACGGAACTTGCACTCTTCCTTCTCTTTTTATAGATATATTAGTTTAGCTTGGACGCTTTGACCGACAAGGACTCGCTCCTATCCGAGGGGCGATTATTGAGCTCGTCGAGGTTTTCATTATCAGTGTAGGACTACTCTTAAAGGCTCCTATCCTCTGAATACTCAGAAAGGTAAATTGAAATCCCTTTGCTAAACATTACTCTTCGAGCTAACGGAGATCAGGTCTTCGAGCAAAATACTCTTTTCACATAGCCCGTAGAAGTGGCTCTAGTGACGATTGGGCGCTGTTTAAGGCAGGATAGGCTTTACACATGTCCAAGTTAAAAAGCAGCCAAGAAAGCTTCGTGGAGAACCTTCTGCGGAAATGTAGAAGCCTGTCATGAGTCCTCACGGTTTAGGCGCATTCTAGCGAAAAATTCCACTCCAGTGAGATATCTGAGAAAATTTGATAGTGGTTGGACGGTGAGCATCGAGAAGTCGTTTAAACGACTTCTGGATGCTCACTATTGAAGCATTCCGCTAGGGAAGCTTCGAGAGGGATAGCCATGGACAGCCTTCTTGGATCTTTTCAATAATCGTCACCTTACATGGGCGCTGAATTCATTCAAACCTTTCAAGTCTCCGGGCCCCGATAACATAATATCGGCGCAACTGCAGCGGACTGTCAACTGGTCATGCAGCGAGCTGTTCCCCATCTATGCGAACTGCGTGAAATTAGGGCATGTTCCGAAAGCCTAGAGATTGGTTAAGTTAGCGTTTATACGAAAGCCTAGAAAGAGCTCCCACGTCGGTAGGGAGCGCTTATGCACAAGAACTTGGTTGTAGGCACCTTTTTCGACATCGAAGGAATCGAACCCTAAGCACCTCGTATATAGTCTTCTCAGCGACTGCACGGTCGTGGCGGAGTGGGGTAATGCAAAGTCATCCCTATAGGTTAACAATGGCACAACGCAGGGGGATTGATGAGATGAAATACTTTGATAGAAAGCTTTGATGGAGGCCAAATATCGTAGATAGAGTAGGGGCTTATATTGCTGTAGAAGAGTTATAGGGAAAAGGATTGGTGGTCATTTAGCTCTACGAAAATTTTTTCACGGATGCGTCGAAGGTAGAAGAGAAAGTTAGAGAGGGAGTTTTGTTTAACGAGTTCTTCCTAAATCTTAATTTTAGGCTACCGGATCTCTGTAGTGTTTTTAGACTGAAGTGACTACTATTAAAGTAGCGGTAGACGTACTGCTCCGAAGTGCAGCCTATTTCAGAGAGATGAGCATTCACTATATCAACAGTATAGCGACAATACTCGCGTAGGGCTCGCTTACTGTGCGCTCAAAGCTAGCCCACTCCTTGACTAGGAGTGTATGTCTTCAATAGATATAGCATTAATGAGTGCGTGTTCATAACGGAATCGCTGGCAACTGCGAAACCGAGGAGCTAGCCAGAGGGGGCCCCCTTACCCCGCTCACACTGGAATGGGACCAAGTTAGATCTCTAGTGGCAGCTATGCAGCCTTTGGTCGACGACCCGCTTCTATGCGACTGCAAGTCCCCTTTAGCCTAGAGTAGAACGCAGGAGATCTTCTGAACTATTTGCCCTTTGGTCCTCTTGCCGCTATCGTAGGGGTTCTTACAGGACATTGTCCAATAGGCATTCATGCGGTAAGGCTAAAAATTATCTTCGGCGAACCAGAAGACGTAGCCAAAACTGATATTAGTCGTCTCAACAAATTTGTGAAACGTTCAAAGCGCTTTGTCGATTTGTAAGGGTAAGATCTATTGAAGGGTTTTGCAATAAAGGTGATATAATTTTTTTTCGAAAAAAAATACACTAGTTAAGAAAATTCAAATATTTTTTATTTAATGTGAAATACGATCGGTACAATTAAGTTCTGAATTGCAGGAAAGAAATCGATGAACCACTTTTCGAGTACTTTTTCCACTAAATTAAGCCGTATGTCATAAATGGCACGTTCAACAACTCTAATGCTTGAAGAGAGTATGCTTTATTGCTAAAGACCAATGACTTCAAATAACCCCACAAAAAGGAGTCTAATGGTGTTAAATCACAACTTCTTGGAGGCCATTCAATATCACAAGCACTGTGAATGTAATGGTTTTTCAGGAATAATTTGTGGATTTTCGGAGAGGACCATAAAATTTGCAATTGGAGAAAGATTATTTTGATAGTAAAATTGAATAATTTGTAAACGATGTTCTTGCGTATATCTTTCCACAATAAAATTGTAAACATTACTAAATACAATGAAAAAAAAAATTACAGATCATGACATATTAAAAATGGCCGAAACGACACTTAGAAATTATATCATCCCTATTGGAAAATCCCATATATAAGAGCTTTAAGTAACACAATTGATTGGCGCTTTAAGCTGTCCAAGTGAGGTCCCTGTTAAGATCGTCCTTATAACCTAACCTTATCTACCTTTAATGTTGTGTGGTACGAATCAGAAAAAGTTATGTAAGAATAAATTTTTCGGTAAAACAGAAAATGCTGGAGTCCGAAAAAAAAAAATTTATTAGGTATCATGGATTCAGATATTATTGGTTCGCCGTTCGTAACGGAAATTTTGGGTGTCACGGAAACCAATTTTATCGATTTCGATACCAGAAACAAAGCAAGAGGACCGTCGCCGACAGATTTGATTTGGTGTTTGATAGCTGATTCGAATATAGGTTTCGCGTATGTTCGAAAAGACGAAAATCAAATCAGATTCTGTTACATCATTGAAAATCAGAATTGGTTTGCAATTCTGACCACTTCGCAAACCTGTCTTGGATTTCGCAACACCCCTTATTATATTTTATGACTCACATGTTACCTATAACTTCATTCGTGAATGCATATCCGCATTCACATTTATAAGTTGTTAAAATATTACATATCTCTCCTGTCAAAATTTCACTATCATCTGTCAGAGTTTTAATTTTTCTACCGTTTTGTACGCAACCTTAGTAATACTCTTACTGATGATAAGTCACAAAAGTGATTGATCGCTATTAGAAAGCTGCAAAAACAGAAGGAATGGTGTAAAAACACTGCTACGGTCACGGTTTCGCAGCATGTTTAGTCTAGTGCGCATCGTCAGAGACTCCGTACAATGCACACCGAAGACGCCATTTGTGCTGTGAAGCAGAGTATCGAACAAATCCCGTATGAGTCCATCCGTCACCTTACGCAACAATTGGTGCCATGCCCATCCACTTTTTGAGGATTTTCCGGAAGGATCTTGGTTTGCTGGCTTACAAAATCCAACTCGTGCAAGAAATGAAGCCGAACGGCGAGCCGCACGTCTGGTAAACGAGGTCAAAACTAAATAGCCACCGATCCAGATTTTCAAACGATATTTTGTTTGGCAATAAAGCTCGTTTTCGATTGAATGGGTACGGTTATAAACAAAATTGTCGCTTTAGGAGTGATCATAATCCACAAGCCATTATTGACAAGCCGTTACATCCCCGAAACGTCACTTTATGGTTTGCTCTATGGGCAGAGGAAATCATTGGACCATATTTCTTCTAAAATGAAGTCAGCCATGATGTTACAGTCAATGAGGAAAGTTATAAAGCCATAATTAATGACTTTGTTGTGCCTGATTCTGAGGATGTTAATGTGGACGACCTTTGGTTCTGACAAGACGAAGCTACATTCTATACAGCCAACGAAAGACTCAATTTATTGAAGTAAACTTTTGATGAGCGCATTATCTCGCGTCGTGGGTGTTGATGTTGTCTCCAATACTGTTTTGTATTTAAACAGAAAACTATTAAATAAATTAGGGTAAATAATTCAATAGGAAACAATATTTTCTTTGAAGGCATTCAATGTATTCGCACTCCAAAAGTCACATACAATCCTAGACGATTGACCCGATTTTAACAGTTCTTAGTGCTATGAGGCATGGTAGAAATAAATAATAAAAAAAAAAATTACACCTTATTACTTAGTTGTCTGAGCATTTTCCATCAGATTGGTAGCCGATAAACATGCATAATGTCAGCTGGTAGCCATATACAACGTAGGGTTACACTTTCCTCGTTAATGCTATTGTTGGTGTCAATCCAGCAGTTTAAACCAATACATATGCAAACTTGACCACGACGTAACCTGAAATGAGTTCATAAATGACCACCCCTTTAAATAACATAAAAATTAAATAATTTCAGTAGATGCATCTAAAAATGTTCATTTTCTATTTTTATTGACAGCAATTTGAGATAGAGGCCGACTTGTTTGTCCACGCAAAACGTTTTTAGCTCCATTTTGATGTCCATTCTTAAACCGTGATCGAACTTGTCCCCTCATATTCTGATTTTGAACGGCACCACTTACACGTGTTTTATTGATTTCGGACCGATTTCTTGATTTAGCCTGTGCTTCATCCTTTACCATATCAATTACTTCATCTGGGATCCTCAAGTATTTTATGGTACTACCTCGTACATAGCATTCAGGCATTCTCCAAAATCTATCTCCGTCCTAAAACAAAACACATTAGTTAGTTTGAAATTTAGTATCGGATAAATTGACTGTTCAACTAAATATGTTGGTAAATTTTAGAATAGCATTTAAATAGTTATGAGCTGATAAAGTTATCCACATTAAAAATATGGTTATTGAAATATTTGTATTTACACTGTTACACGTTCAATGGGTCTAATCATTAAATCCTATAAACCTGTCGATTCGATCGAAACAAATTACGTTGAAATCGTATCGAAATTAAAATGGCTATGAAGTTGAACTCACTTACCGACACAATAAAATATATTCCGTAGGTGGCGCTAATTTCGAAATCAGTGAAATCGCAAAACCGAAAATATTTATCGAAATCTTTCCGTTGACGTGCGAGGTGCGGAAAAAAATGGGGCATTTCTAGGTATTTATGTGTAAAAAATTGCTAAGGACCCTAATTATATTATGTTAATAAATGTGTATCTTAGAGACAGGAGACAAAAACAACTCAACAAAAATAATTTGAAATTCAGTAAGCCACTCAACGCTCTCTCGGTTTACGGCCCTTTTATTTCTACCTAGGGATTTCCTGAAATTGTGCATCCGCATACACACATACATATATTCATCCAACCAATGGTCCAAGCCGTTATATCCAATTTTAGAGCTTACTACTTACAGCTAACATTTAAGCAGATGTTTGACGGATAAAAGGACCACTATACATAACTGAAAGTATTGTCTAATTGTTGTAAATTATTCAAATTTCGACAGAATTTCAAAAGCAATACGGGGTGTTATAGATGCTTTATCCACTTATCAACAACTTTTAACAGAACGCCAAAGGAAAACGCAAACTACATGAGATGCTTTTTTGACAAAAAGGCTGAAAATTGGAAACATAAAATAGACTGAACGATCTGACTGGCTAAGAATTTTATTTGTTTTTATTAATATATTCGTTTATATTATTTTTGTAAGAGATATTTGTTTAGTATATTTTTTTTAGACATAATTATTAAATTTAATACCTAACCAATTTTCTACCAATCTTTTTTTAACCCCATTATTTACAAGATAGTCGTCTAGCGCTGTTTCGCATTACGCTTTATTTTAATGGAACGTAACCTAAGCGTTAAGCGGAGTCTTCCTGTACAAAGTCAAGGCATTTTCATAAAGATAAAAAAATGTAAAAATAATTATCGGGCGTTTATGTACAATATCGGGTAAAATCGGCTCATTTACAGGTTCGGACCAATTTTTAGTTTGCAATTAAAAATAAATTTGTATAAAAATCTCAAATCAAATTTCTGGAACAGGGAAGGGCTCTTCATCCCAGTAACTATAAGTACACTCGAAAAGGAGGTCAGCGGTATACACACATCATTAAGAGGCATTGAAAGTTTTGGATGTTCACCAGTAATTGCAAAAAATATTTCGAATGAAATCCCTGCTAAAAGTACCAGTAATAAGAAAAAAATGTATGATATTTATACAAAAATAATCATCATATTTAACGACTGACTTAATCAATTCTCAAAACTGCCGGTTCTACGTTACCGGAATTAACCCGGATTTTATCCGGCCAAGGGTTTTTATTTCGGCGATCTAACCCTGTTTCGATCGGTAAGTTCTAGGTTAATTTTGCCGTCATTGGAGCAACGCCCACAAAACGCCATTAATCAAAAACAAATAAATTGTCACAACTAAGCTCCACAACAAGATACAAGACTCTTATTTGGAATACAGGATCACATTAGCGGGGGGCATCTGCAGTTTAAATTTATTTGTAAAAGTGGGCGTGGTCCCGACCCCTAATAGGTTTAATGTGCATATCTCCTATACCACTGAAGCCATAATAAAAAAATTCTCTGGGAATAAATGTTTTTAGTATCTCTATCGACGGTGTGAAAATGGGTGAAATCGGGTGACAACCCCGCCCACTCCTCATATAACGGTACACTTAAAAACTACTAAAAGCGCGATAAATCAAGCACTAAACAAGCCAGAGACATTAAATTTTTATCTCTGGGATGGTATGAGATGAATTTATAGGAACCACGTTCAAAATAAGTCAGTGGGCGTGGCGGCGCCCACTTTTAGGTGAAAACCCATATCTTGGAATCTGCTTAATCGATTTCCAAACCCAAATTCGGTACATAATATTCGTCTCATATTTCTATATTATAGTACGAAAGTGGGCGAAATCGGATTACAACCACGCCTATTGGTTTAGAATAGAAATAACCCATCATACTTATGCCAGCCTGTTCAACTTATCAAATATAAATGTACAATTTTATTTTCTCCCATCTCCCACATATTTTCACATAATACTTGGCAACGATACTCTTAAAGAACTATCTGTAATCACTCATACTAAAGACAATTTCATGACCAAAAACAAGAATTAAACTAAATCAACTATTTTCACAAGATGTCAATCACGTTATAGTTAGATATAACCACATGAACAATTTCCCAAAATAAACAATGAAATAAATAATGAACAAGAATTTTTACCTCTTTTTTGACCTCAATGAAAAGCTACTTATGCCACAAAAGTCGTCGACAATGTAAGAACCAACTCCAATACACCAGTTTATTAAATAATCATACATACCCCAGAAGACAAGTAAAAATAAAACAGTACTGAACGATGGAAACATAAGGCCTTCCTGTTCCCCCATTTGGATCGTTCCAAGAAAAATAGGACGCATCCACCAAAAAAAATATATAGGCCAGAAGCTACAGGAAGTTAAACTCAATCACAATAGCTGACCGTTACCCAATTGCCGATATAAATCGGCACAACTTGGTAGAAATTAATTATTTTCAGTATTAGATCTGAAAAGCGGTTTCATCCATTAAAAGAATCTGACGTTCGGTCTAAATAATGCCTCATCAATATTTCAACGTGCTTTATAGGACATTCTTGGAAAACACATGGGGATCCTGTTATGTTTATATCGATGATATAATCATATTCAGCAAAGATAAAAAACCCCATGCTCAACACATACTTCAAATTTTAAAACTCTTACGGGACGCTAATATGAAAGTACAAATGAATGAGTGCGAATTCTTAAAAAAAAACAAAAAAACAGAATGTTTAGGATTTATAGTATCTTTGAATGGAATAAACACGAACCCTACTTAAGTACAAGCAATAGTCGACTTTCCATACTCAAAAACTCTAAAAGAGTTAATATCATGTCTAGGACTCTCCGGATCCTATAGACGATTTATAAAAGACTACGCGAAATTAACTAAGCTCCTCAATACCTTTCTTAGAGAAGACGGAAGAATATCGTAAATCAATTAAAAAAGAAAACCGTCAAGCTAGACGACGCAACTAGAAGTACATTCGACAAAATAACAAAAAAAAACGTTAACTTCGGTTGCACCGAAGCTAATTTTATGAAGATACCTCGTTAAATAAAAGAGTTTTCCATACAAGCACCGATCTTTCAGTTAATATGACAGTCATATGCTATAGTCATCCGATCTAAACAATTTCGTCGGAGATTACATTGTTGCCTTAGACTCATGCCAAAATTTGTTCAGTTTGTAGCTTCTTAGTGAGGAAAGGAGAGGTGCAACTGAGGGTCTAGCACGTATATATACAGACAAACAGAAGGACGAACAGACAGACAGACGGACATGGCTTAAACCATTCAGCTCATCATGCCGATGATTTATGTATATATTTAATAGGGTATCCGACGTTTTCTGGGACTTCATGGCAAACTTAATATATACTAGTCAGGGTATAAAAATTGCATTAGTTTCAAGAGAAGTAACACTAACCTATCCTAACATATAGAAAGAACTTAATTTGGCTAGATGCTTTGAAAGAGGATGCTTTGAACAGGAATTGGAAAGCCAATCACTTTTATATGAACAACATTACCCAAAACAGAAGAAAATTACCTATACGGCATAGCTAAAATAAAAATATTGAGCGATCACCAACACCTAACGTACAGATTAAGCAATAAAAACGACAATACAATTTCCCACGACAGTCGGGTCTACGTAACCGGAACAGAGCCGAAATTTTATCCGGCCAAGGACTGTTAACTCGGCAGAAATCTACCGCTACAACAACAATACAATTCTTCGGTTCTATGATACCGGTTTTTATTCCACCAAGGCTGTTTTCGGCGATCTAATCCCGTTTGGATCGGTGAGGTTTGTTTTAAAAATAGTCTTTCCTTGAACAACTCCTAGCAGGAACACTCCCGTGTTAGCATTGAGTCCAACCGGAACCCTAAAAATTTTTGTGCTGCGTTTACGCCAAGAGGCTCCATCCAAACTCCATCTCGGTTAGGATGGAGCCATCTTAAGGCTGTTCAGGCCTTAAGTGGCAACGCACTATGGCGAAACGAGCCTCAGCGACCATCCAAATCGCACTACGTCCGCGCACTGCCCTGGAACTCCAGTCGAGTGGCCAACAAAAGACATCTACCGTCCTCAGGAGCTCAAAACAAAAACAACCAGAAATACATCCCACTCCAATCTTCGTGCAGGAACCACTCGGCAACTCCTGGTTCCTCACAGTTTGTTATGTGTATGAGACCGACATACGTCAGAACGTCACATCAGTAAAGTGCAATTTTTGTACCAGCTAGTGTGTTTTCCCCGCGTGTTCCGGCCTGCGCACCACGCGTGAGTGGAATGTATCGTACGTTGCCCCGTGCTGCCGGAGTCTGTTCCGTAATCCTCTTCAATGATGTCGCCAAACAACACCACAGTGCGACTAACTTGATTACCACAATTTAGCTGCAACGGACTCACAGAGCAAGATCGGAGAGATAGTTGCGTTCATGAGCCGGGAACGGGCATAACGATAGCTGCGGTCAAAGAAACATTGTTTGACAGCCGCTCAGGACTTCTGAGTTGTACAAGTTTCAACGTGATACGTATGGATCGCGAGTGAGATAATGGTGGAGGCCTAGCTTTCATACTGCAAAACATTGTTCTACAATATATCACCTTATCGATAGTGACCTCGACCGCAGGGAAACTACCCTTGAATGTCAGGGAAAATCACTCCGGTCTGGCGATGTCGAGCTCGAGATATTTAATATATACATCAACCCTGTTACATGTGGCCCAACAGGGTATCACCCGAACATAGATGCGATGCTTCGTGGTGAGAACCGATTGGTATTTGATTTGGCAGGTGGTAAACCAGCATAAGCGGACAAAATGGATAGATCATTTGAATTTTTGTAACCTCCACACCGGTGTAAGTACGCTTTGGACTATTGTCAAGGCCTTGTCAAAACAGAGGAGGCATAACGACCGCAATAGCTGGCAATTTACATTGCACTCTTTTACAGACAAGACCAAACAATGTGTAACCCGGTTGCGCAAAATGTTAAAAGACAGTGCGCCACTTACTTTCACTAATTAGAAGGTTCGAATTGTCAGCAACAAGGCAAAATCATGTAAATCCATTGGAATTAATATGCTGATGCTAGAATATCTAGGCGCGACGCGAGTAAGCTACCCAACCATGGTCCTCGACTTGGCGGTGATCACTCTTCATATATCTGATGTGTGGAAAGTCGGAAGAGTTGTCCCACGACTGAAACCTGGGAAACCCGCCAACAAAGGGAAGTATTATCGTCCGATAACTCGCCTTTCCCTAGCAGTGAAGATACTTGAGGCCTTGCTACTCCCGTCATTCACCCACCACCTGAGCCTAGCAGATCATCAGCATGGCTTCCGTAAAGTGCACAGCACCACCACAGAACGTTAAGTCATAAACGCCCAGATAGTTCATAGCCTTAACCAAAAGCCACCATGTCTAAACGTTGGACTTGTCAAAAGCTTTTGACACAGTCAACAATACAACGCTACTTGAGGAAATTGAACAATTCACGCTTCCTCCAGGGTTGAAGCGGTGAACTATGAACTACCTAAGCGGCCGACTACCATCCGTACTGTTTCGAGGTCAAAACTCTAAAAGGAATTAAACAAGGGGTCCCGCAGGGTGGTGTTCTCTCCCCGATACTGTTTAATTTCTACATATCGAGACTCCTGACTTCAAGGAGCTTAACACTTATCGCCACTTAATCCACAGCGGATAACTGCCACGTTCGCGATAACTGCCAAAGTACAGAGCCGCAACAAAATCCTCCAGTCGCTTGCCGGCAGCTCATGGGGAAAAGACAAACAAACGTTGTTGGAAACATACAAGGCAATCGGCCGGCCGGTCTCAAACTACGCCGCAGACGAAGAAGGTTCAGACATGTTAGAACACTGCACTCCGTACTATCACGGTATGCCTCTTAACCACCTTCTTGCATGTCCTATTAAACTTACCTGTTTAACACCCCTCTCCCTATGGTTTGACTCCGTTGAAACAGTGCGTTTCTTGGGCCTACTGTTAGATGACTTCGATGGGAATCAACCTGAACCTTAACACCCAAGGGGGGATTAGATAACCGCTACAACCACAACAATTCAAAACTTAAAAGATGGAAGGCCATCTTAGAAGAATACGACCATGAAATTAGATACAAAAATAAAACCTACTCCAATTCCTGAATATAAAGGACAAATCCTTCATATCGACATATTTATAGCAGAAAACAAATTAGTACTAACAACTATATATAAATATTCCAAATATGCTCATGCAAGAATAATTAAATTCAGTTCGACAATAGAAATACGCAAACCACTTCATATACACTTCACTTAAAGTCTATGTATCTATCACAGCGACTCACATTGCCTCAGCACATTGATTAATTCCAATATACTGCTGGGTGCCAGCGAGGCGACGTGATCCCTATTCGGAAATATGGATTCAAAAGCCTTGATCCTGCGTCTACAGACTGCTGTGCAGTCTATTAGCAGGTATTCAGGAGTTTCCGGCTCCATGTTAATGGTATTAAATAAGTGCTTCTTAAGCTTACAATGGCCAAAAAATCACTGAATTCTCACTCCATAATTTTCATGCTAGAAGACCAATTAAGGATTAAAATCTACGGGCCACCATCACAGATAAACAAAGCGAATGGACAGATTGAACGTTTTCATTCAACTCTTGCAGAGATTTTAAGATGCCTAAAGACCGAAGACATAGATAGAAATTTTGAAGAATTACTTGATAGAGCAGTTTATGAATACAATTTTACAAACTACTCCACAACTGAACAAAAACCAATAGAAAACTTTTTCAGAAGCAAAGATTACACAAACAAATTACAATATGAGGAAGCCAGACAAAATAATATACAAAGACTGTAGCTCAAACAAGAACAAGACTCTAAGTTTCATAATAAGAACAGTACGACTTTCAAAGGCTAGGACAGGCGGTTGAGATAAAAATTAACAAAAGACATGACCCAAAATTGACACCGCGTTACAAAAAATAGTTAAGGAGAACAAATCATCGACAATTATAACAGAATCGAGCAGAGTGGTTAACAAAACTCTTATAAAACAAAATTAAAGATTATTTAATAAGAATAACTACAATAAATAGGATTTATTTTATTTTCTTTACTTTTTTAATTTGACTGTGACATTAGCGACGGTCACATAAATAACTGCCAATGTTAAGATCCTAGACTACTCGACTTCCCAACTAGTATCAATATTATACATTTGATACAATTGCAACACCATTCGACACACAGAGACAACAGTTAATAAACAAATTCCAAACCATCCATTGCAATACGAGTGTTGAAATAGAAAAAAAATGTATTTTTCAATAGAAATAACAGCAATAAACAGCATAGTGGAATTGAAGAAATAACAGAAAATTAGTCATTGCCAGTAATATTACAATCAATGGCAATGCATAGTAGAACCTTTATCTTTAAAATCAATTAAAGAATTTCAGTCAAATTAGACTAAAAAAAATTCATTGTTAAATAGACAAAATTATATTTACCTTACTATTAACGTAACATCAATAATAATTGTAATGTCTGTAATCATAATTGTTCTAAGTAAACTTAAGCAAAAGAAATTTAAAATAAATAAAGGAAGAAATCCCAACCAATACACTTTAGAAATTGGGATAAAAGATGTACCAAAATTTTGCTCAACTCCATCGAACGAGAACCCTCGAATTTAAGGGCGGAAGAGTTAACACAAAACAAATTATTACAGATACAACAATTAAAGATAATTCCAGGAATCAGCAAAGTAAATTAAACCATTTAATATTTCATACTAATTAAGCAGCTGAAATATCTCTTAAATTTTTTTTGATATCTTATCTTTCGTTTTCAATGGCTTTCATTATTTTTTTGCTTTAAAAAATTATCTACCTTAGCCTATTAGCATTTTCAAAGATCTTGTGAATTCTTCACAATGGTTCCTAACATTTTTTGCTCCAATCATGTCTCTGAATTATTTCTTCAGAGCTATAGACGCTTTTTATCAGTTTTCTTGTGACATTTTGTAGAAAAACTAATGAAAAATTAAACAAATGAAAAGGCAAAACCATTTTTTTAAATCTTTGTTTCGAATTTCCGAACCGAATTTCTCGATAAATCGTCTACTCACTCACTCTTGAGTTCGATCACTGGATTGTTAAATAAAAGTAATAATTTAATGGCTATACACTTATTTTTACTTCTAATTCTAACAACTTAACACTTATTGCTCGTTATTCGAGCTTACAACTTCTTGCTTATGTCTCAATTGCTCTTAACACGACAACAACTAACTGTGTGTGCTGCACAATCTGGCAGTCCTTATAAAGTAGATCTTTCACAAAACCTCTAGAACATTCTGGCAACTACGAATTCGCTGTATAGTAGCTTCTGGCAATTTATCGTTGATTCGATTTTGTTCTATCATCCGTATTCGTCACAATATTGAAGGTGTAGCATTGGGTGCGTTCGAGATGGCAATCATGACAGCAGTGTTGCAAATTTGTCAATGTAACACATTTCTAGCAAAACTTGCAACAGCATCACGTTTTACTGTTTTTTTGGGCGCAATTTATGCTAATAATTGGCAAAACTAAATTTTTGTCTGCACATCAGCAGAGTATCAGTAAATATGCAACACAGATATTACTGATGTCATTATTAGGTTGCCCGAACGCACCTATTCACTCGCGATCCATCAATTCTCAATAAAGATCTAAATATCACAATAAAATTTGAATGTGACTGGTACCACATCTACACATTTACTATTATTCTCAATAAGCTAAGATACTAACGGTACTAATCATGCCACACAAACAGGTGACGCCATAGATAATGGGACTCTTGTTGCCGCAACAAAGAAATACATGTGTCAAAAGTGTACACTCATCTAGTTTTAGTTCTAGTTATTGTATCGTACACACCTCGAATTTAAAGAGAAACTCGTTTTTATAGTAAAAGCAATCTAACTTTAGGCCTTTATTGTGCAATTTAATTTGCCTCCATTACTGCCAAAACCGGAAAATGTTTAAAATTCTACAAAATTAGACTTTAAAAAGATTGCGTTTACTATAAAACTATATAAAAAAAACTATACTTTTTATTTAAATTCGTGGGGTGTACGATACAATAACTAGAACTGAAACGGATGAGCGTAAACTATTGAGACATGTATTTCTTTGGTGCGGCAACAAAAGTTTCGTTATCTATGGCGTCACCTGTTTGTGTGTCATATTATTATATATATATTGCACAATATTTACCAATGCAATTTGAATATGAAAATAATGACAAAACGGACAAAAAAAAAACGGTACCTTGTTTAGTTATAACAATATCCGTTATATAATATAATAATTATAAATATTCTTTATCTGGAGAATCTCCTCTATCCAACCATACCCGTCTTCACCCTAAAATCGTGGGATGGTATACTAAAATTTCCCCATTCAGTTATTTTATTTTATGGTTGCCTGCCTCTAATTAAAAGGCTAAGAGCTCCGAATTTTGCAAAACTATTATCTAACACATAGATAGATAGATACATAGTTGGTATGAGGTTTACACCGTGACCTAGGGTCTATTGTGCCCTCTCCTTCAGCAGTCCCAGCACCTTGACAAACTCTATAAACCTGCTGGGTGCTATAGAGGTAATGGGATCCCTGTTCACATAAATGAAACCGAGGGCCTTGAGCCTGCATCTACAAATTTCGGTGCAGAACCGGCAGTTATCACAAGAAGCTATGCCTAAATTAGACAGATGTTTCTTGCGCCAGCAGTGCCCAGTGTAGAGCGCGACAAGGAGCCGAAATTTGTCTCTGGGGAGGTTTATTATAGCTCTGAACTTTTCCCTTTTCCATACCCCCTCTGGTATCATTAGCAGCATAGTATGCTTCGCAGTCTGTTTAATAACTAAATGGAGCGGTGTGAGCTCTAGCATGACCTCAAGTGCTGCGGTGAGGCAAGAGCGCATTGCCCCAGTGGCGCCGACGCATGCAAGTCTTTGCATTTTGATAGTTGAAGGCCTATCGAAGTCTGCCTCACGATCATGGTGTACAGCCACCTGATGGTACTTGCGGATGGTACGGGCGGATAGAGGAGATCCTCCAGATCAAGAATATATATAGATATAGCCGCGGGAAACTTATAGTTTTCGAGATATTTGGGTTTAAAGTTCAAAATATCGACTATTTAAAGTACGCATTTTTCCCATTTCGAATGAGTTATACACTTATATTTTCCACTTTTATATCCACTAACACTTCACTTAATGTTTCCAGAAAGTCCGCCTAGAATTATTTACTGCATTATTGCATTACATCGCGAACAAAAAAAAAAAGTTAAATACTAACACCACACAAAGAACTAAATTCTATTGTTACCTTAGATGTACAAATAACATCACGCAGATTTATATTCATCCATGAATCGCAGCTAACCAAATGTCCATTATATGTTTCTCCATTCTTTAATTCTACTAACTACAATAAAACACTCAATTAATATTTTTAATACATGATAATAAAATAGCATTTACCATAGGATGGCTTTGAGCCGTCTTTAGAAGCGTAAGAGGGAGCTAAAAACACTATAAATAAAATTAAAGTATAAAAAAAATATATATTATATCATACCATTAGAGTACTTAGCGTACAAAATTTGTGTTAGAATATACTGTCACTGTGCTTTATATTTTATTATAAGCAGCTGAACCTCACAGGGCATCTTGACAGGCAATTTAAGATTGTAAAAAATCT